ATAAATTTAAGATTTTATTTTTATTTTTTTTTTTGTGAAAACATGTCATTAAAAAAGATTTAAAATATCAATAAACTTGAAATAACTATAATATGGAAATAATCAAAGTTCTTAAAATAAACAATAAATATATTTGTATTGTTTATTTGTGGAAAATATTAATATTTTATAAATTTGTTTTTCAAATTCAAATTATTGTTTCATTATATTGTTTTAATATAAATAATAAGCTAAGGTAATTTCAAATTATATATTTTTACATGTAACGTTTATAAAAATAAATAAACCAAATAAACTAATAAATCGCTTTTTATTAAACAGTTGAGCTCGTGAGCTCTCGGCTCGTGAGACTTCATGAGCAGCTCTTAAATATGAGCCAATTTTTGGCTCACATAAGAATTGGCTCGTGCTCTTGAGCCTGAGCTGCTCATGAGTGAGCAAATACGAACCCTGTTTACTACTACTAAAACATATTAATTGTAAACAATATTAAATATGGAAGCCTTATTGAAATAAAAACAATCTCAAAATGCTGTTGACTACTATAACTATAAAGGGTAGTAGTCGATCGCTCCGTTTGCTCTCATAGATTAAAGGTAAGTAATTCATACGTAACATAAATGATTGATTGCAATTTTGTCATTCCAGTCTGAATTTTTACTTTTTTCACATCAAAATTTGTTTAATCAATTTGATTTGTAGGAATCACGAATGGCTCTTCTGATATTGGTAGATGTTCTGATTTTCTTTTTGGAGAAAGTTAGGAGTTTTATATTTTTGGGTAAACAGTAACAGTTCTATCTTAGAAGGATTAACACCTACGTCACACCTTGAGGCCCATTTACTAAGGTTCAGAAAAGCGCCCTCCATGATGCTACTCAGCACCGAAGGGAACATGCCTGTCTTCCGCATACGCTACTGCTTTGACTCCACCCTGGTTAAGCCTTAAAAGCAGTGAGTTCATTGTTAAAATCCATAATAAGGGAGATAACACTCCCCCTTGTGGTGTACCCCTATTGACGCATTTCTTAATGCTAAGATTGCCCATCTCTGCATTGATGATTCTAAACTCAAGCATAGAAGCGATCCATCGGGAGATGCAGGCCGGGATGTTCATTTCGCTGAGAGCATCCTGAATGGCTACCACACTGATGTTATTAAAAGCTCCTTCTATATCCAAGAAGGCGGCTAAGGTAAATTGTTTACATCCAAAAGATTTCTCCACCACAGTAACAACCTCATGTAGTGCCGTTTCTGTGGACTTCCCTTTGAGATATGCATGTTATGCCCTTGATATTTTAGTGAAACTGTGTAAAGATCTGATCTAAGCATCGACCAGTCTTTCCATAGTTTTAAGTAAGAATGAAGTAAAGCTAATGGGTCTATAATTTTTAGCCGTGCTGTGGCCTGTTGTATCTGCTTTTGGAATAAAAACTACTCTAACTTATCTCCAGCCGCTGGGGACATGATTAAGTGAAAAGCAGCTACAGAAAATCGTGGACAGCCAATTTACAGCTCCATCTCCCAGAGATTATAACATAATTGGTAAGATCCCGTCAGGACCCGGACTTTTATATGAAGAGAAGGAATCGATGACCCATTTGATCCTTCTAGATGATACCACTGACTGTATAGTCTCGCCAGAATTGGCTGAACGATACGGCAATACCTTTGGGGATCACCCGAGAAATCAGGAAAATGGGTATCTACTAATAGTGAGAGGGATTCCGTTAGGGATTTAACTGGATTTCCATCTACTTTGTTAATGAAAGAGGGTAGCAGTTTGGTAGCAGTTTGGCTAGTCTAGCCAATTCTTTAATGCTTTCAATTTGCTGGCAATGAGAATTCCATGACAATTTCTTGGATTCCCGAAGTGCTTTTTTGTAAACCCTAAGAGCAACTTTATATGGAGTCCAAACCTTGGTCCGATAGCTTTCGTTGAAAGCTCTTCTTGCATTCCTGCGGAGTAAAGAGAGCTTCTCGTTCCACCACGGTGGCCTACACTTCTTCGCATACGAGCGAGGACATAATGCTTCAAAGGAAGAAATAATATTATTTGTCAAAGAGTTGACCCTACACTCCAATTCCGTAATCAAGTTAATTGGAGCGGGGGCTATGTTGATTCTGACACTGAGCAATGACCTGAAAGTATCCCAGTTTGTCTTCCTGGGATTACGGTGAGATTGCTTAGCTACCATGGGAATATTCATCACAAACGTGATATATCTATGATCAGAGAAGGAGTTCCTGGTTGAAACTCTCCAATCATTGATCGTTAAAGAACACGAAGTCGAACAAAGGGTAATATCTAAAACCTCTTAACAGCCTATATGATCATCCGTACTCGGAAAAATGAAGGTGGGATTATTACTCTTATTACATAGTTCTAGATTACATCTTAATATAAAATCAAAAAGAGTCTCTTTTATCTCTCTATCGTTAATTTCCGAGCTTCCCCACAAGGAGTGCCGGGCATTAGAGTCACAACCCATCAGCAAGGCTAGCTTCTCGGTCTGCGCGAAATTTTGGACTAGTAGTACCCCCTCTGGAGGTGCCTCATCATCGTGTGGCATATAGGCGGATGTTACTAAAACCGCAGGTTTTAGCTTCCGCTCTATCCGGATGGTGGTGATATCTAAAAAACTTAAATGAGAGCAGAGAAAAGCATTAAGGTGCGTTTTTGCTAAAATGCATGATCTTGGCTTACTCTGTCCTTTATCATAAAAAAGATTATACTCATTGATGTTGAGCCCTTTGACACATGAGCTATGAACCCAGGGCTCTTGGATGATGGCAAGGTCGATGTCCTCCTCCCTGAGTAAGACAGCCAGATTATCCGTGGCACATTTAGAGTGTTTCAGGTTTATCTGCACGACCTTGGCCATTAATACATCAACAAGGTTTGTTGTCGATGATGAGGTCATCTAGCAGCTTACTAGTGCCCTCAACCTCATCCAGAATATTATCCGGTGGCGCGTTTTTAAAGATTTTAATTTTTGCCTTCCGGATGCCGTAACGCAGCTTGCAGTCATTAGCCTCAATGACTGGCAAGCATTCTTCGTTGATAAGAAGTAAGTACGATTGGCTGTGCTTTTTGCGGTTCTTCGGTCTTGAGAACCGACCAGTCTTCCATCTGGATTTCTGGATTTTGTAGCCTTAGCTGCTGCAGAGTAAGGTCAGGAGGACCAAGGTTTTTGGGTAACCATACGCGCGCTCGAGGTCTCGATGGAATTTCCGCCGCAAGGACAAGTTTGAGCTTTAAACCGTCCCAGTTCTCACTAATCTTAGTGATCGCCTTGCTGAGAAAACTCCGCGAATACTCGTCGTCGCATCTGATCACTCGGTGACCACGGACGATATATGCACAGTCAAAAGAAGGAACGGACCCCGGATTAGTCATGAGCTCAGCCATAACCAATTCGGACAGTTTGGTCTCAATCAGCGCCCACCTCTCCATCAGCAGCTTGCCGTTTGAGTTGTGTTCGTCGATCAAGGCCATACTGAGATGGTCTCTCGCCACTTCACTGAAGGGACGAGTAACTTATGCCGGTCTTGACATTAGCTTTCCATCCCCCGTTCCATCTTTGTGTCGCTTCGCCTCCTTGCCGGGATCTTCCTGAGATCTGTTACACTTGCCGCCATCTCCGACATTCTTGCCGGTGATAACAGACTGGCGCAGACCTTCATCATGAAGATACTCCTCCACAATGGCGCGGTATTTAACAGCGTCTGTTTCGTCTCGTTCATGGACCTTGCCTTCTTTTTTGTTGCTCTCAATTTTTCTTAGCATAAAAAGCGCCCGCTGATATCGATTTTTGCGTGCCATGTTGGCTTTTTCGTGATTTAGCATTGCCCTTACTGCTAAGGCTGGCAGTTTTAAGCGTTGGCGTGCGGTTGGCAGTCTGTCTACTTTGACTGGTAGACGGAGTGCTGTCGATTTTTTTGGATGTTAATTGGATTGGCTTAGACGCCGGTGTACTGTGACTGGTACAACCGGTATTGGAATCGGCAGCGATCTCGTCGTCCAATTTCAACAGTTCGTCCTCCGTAAGTTTGATGGGTTTATACTCTCCAGCCACGAGTTCCGAGACATTATCGGAAGAATTCATATCATATGCATAATCGTTCACCTTACCCGGTAAGACAGGCGCGGCGGACCCGAGGATAGCTGGACGAAAGAAGCGACTACCACAGTAGCGTCCCACACCATGGCTGGACCACAGTTACTCCCCAAGGCGGTCATATATTGGAGAGGCTCCGCAAAAATACAGTCGCACAGACCCCTTGACTGCAAACCTATACTCGGTGAGCACGGATCGCGTAACACTCCCGAGTTAAGGGAACCTTCAAACCATGATCACAAAGCATTGAGTGGTGTGCAGCTATTAAAGAGCTAAGGACATTCACTCAATTCCTCCTGATCTTAGCTGGGCACCGTCCTGACAACGTACAGGATGAGAAAACTGTGTGACCCATTACCAGACGGCACCCTCGTGAAGGGTTCAGTAGAAGGATTTTTTTCTTGGTAATATAATAATCATTTATTTGTTTATCTCTTAAATTATTAATATCTCAGGTATCCTGTTTTTATTTATTTGTTTTATTTATTGAGCATAAATTTATTATTAAAAATATACAATTACAGGAATTTATGTGATGCAATTGTTATGTTAACATTCATAAAAAGCAAAGAATTTTTCACAATTAAAATTTATCTTGTTAAAAAAAAAGTGTTCAATTTATAAATATTTTAGTTTGATAACAAAATCGAGTGCTGTTTTGTTTTATAACGACTGCTTTTATTTTTTAGAAAAATTTTGAAATTGTTTTGTACGTTTTTCCAATTAAAACAATAAAAGTTAATCAATCAGAATTCAAGGATATTTAACCAGCTAATGTGAAGTATAGACTTTCTCAAATTGCTATAAAACGCAAAATTAATATTTCGTATATAAAAAATTTGTTTTTAATATATTTAAATATACATATAATACATTTACATAAATATTAATTGTTAATTTCCTCTTCAAATTAATTCCTGTGCAGGATTTAAAATTAACAAACCCAAAATTACGAACGATTATTAATATATATATTATTTTATTAAATTTATATCCTAAAATTGTTCAGACCTAGATATGTCTTCCAAGAATGTCATAAACTATTTCTTTTCTCGTTTTTATTTCTGCTTTCATTGCTGCTGTATAAGGATCAAAAGATAGAATACGTTTTCTTCTGCGGAAGATACCTTCTTTTCTCTTTACTGCACAATTCAATAAAGACTGAAATATAAATGTTTTCTTTTATGATACAAGTATAAAATTCAAACAATTAAGCTCACCTCATTTATTGGATATTCTAAAAAAGTTAAAATTTCTCTTAAAATATTTTTAATTTCATTTACTAAATCGTCGTAAAATACAACTTTTACTTGTCCTGTAAAATTTCGTGCCCAGCTGATATTCATTAACTCCCAACCTTTGAGTTTATTAGTTACAAACTGCTGCCAATCTAAAAAAGAAAGTATGTTGAGAAAGTGTAACAGTTGAGGAATTGAAAACACATTCATTATGTTAAAATAAACTAACCAATTTAATATGTACAAGTAGCTGTAGGTTTTAGTACTTAACTAGTAGTGACAAAATATAGATATATGTTATGTACATATAAGAAACTATCGACAGTGTTACTTTCAGCCTAGATTAAATTATTTATTAAATTATTGAATTATTTATTGAAATAATTGCCATTCATTTTATTAACCCATTTCGTACGTGTGGTGTACCACACGGCTAACTTTGAAAATTATTTAAAAATATATAAAAGTTATTAATTCAATGTTTTTTATTTTTGTTACTCAGTTTGGTATCTTAATAATATAAAAATATAGATTTCGAACAGTTTTCATCTGTTCATGAGTTTAAATGGTCCGAAATAAAAAGTGTCCAAAAAAATGCTTTTTTTAATCAAATGAAAATTTAAATAAATAGAAATAAAAACTAATATATTTGTTATAATATGTGTTCGCAAAAGTCCAATTATAATTTTCATAATTTTTGCCGGCGCCTTAGTAATAGTTACGTGCCACTAGACTCCAGCGAAAAAAGGCGTGTGATGAACCACACGCTGGGTCCCATATCAAAATAATGATGAAACAATGCCATATAAATATTTGTCGTTAGGTAATGAAATAAAATGAGAGTAATCTCTCTAATAAATATTATATTCTTCTAATTAACTTAAACTTACGTTATGTTCTTTTAATATATATATATATATATATATATATTAGAATTTATTATATTTTAATTATTTTAATTATATATATTTTGAGAATTTTGAGAATTTTTTAAAGGTCAAATGATATTTATATCTGGGCACAATTAGTATGTCGTCTTATTTAATCGAAGTAGTTTGGAATTTAATTTTTGTGGGGTAATTTTCACATCAATAAATAAATGAGATGATAGGGTTAAGTATTTTTACAGTATGACTACTGTCCGGAGAGTGCATCTTATGTGAGATTCCGAAGACTTTATGTTATTAATAAAGTAAGGTATATATTATGTTCGTGTATGCGACATAATATTGTATTACCGATTACCAAAAACACAGTGAACTTTATGTTATTAATAAAGTAAGGTATATATTATGTTCGTGTTTGCGACATAATATTGTATTACCGATTACCAAAAAAAACAGTGACAGTGATATTAATTTGAATCAAAAGCAAAAAAAAGGAATTTGTGACATATTCCTTTTCTCAATCAATTATCTTTGAAACGCTGTAAATTTTATTGAACTTAATATATAGCCATTTGAAAATGTGTCTACTATGCCAATTCTTAAAACCCCATGGGTTCATATCTCCTAGGAAAAAAATAACAAAATTTTTTCCCGAGATATGAGTCTTCTTATTTTATGAAAGGAGCTCATAAAAAAATTTCAGCCAAATCGGAGATCATGAGGTCATTTTTTGCCAAAATCCGTCCGGTTTGTAAAAGAATGACCCATGTATTAGTGTTCAAGTACGTTGACTTAAAACCACCTTTATACTTGTAAACAATTATAAATATATTTTTTATATATAATACACTTTTTATATATATACAAGGAATGATGTATATTTACCCATTTATTTTATATTTTGACATACAATGCCACCGAGTGATCATACAAGACACACTGATTTCCTATAAGAATACGACGTCTTTTATACGCATTCTCTTGAACTTTTTGTGTAAAGTACACAAAATTTTGAGTCCATCTTAGTTAAAATTAATGCAATTTAACACTTTTGCATAAAAGCTTCCTTGTGCAGCTTTTTGCAGCGAATTGCATTCTGACGCTTCTAGTATATTTGTTTTGTTTTGATTTTAAGAAAAGTACCGGTGCTGGTGTTTTCTCGTGTTTCAAATTATTATATAAATATAATAATAAATAATTTATAAATAAATTTTTATTTATTTCATCAAATAAATTTATGGTGGATAAATAAAAAAGAGAAGAATGATTTTATTGATATATATTTCACTATTTATTATAAATATATTTTCTTGCAGTTCCAAATCACTTCACGTTTTATTGATATATATTTCACTATTTATTATAAATATATTTTCTTGCAGTTCCAAATCACTTCACGTTTTGCAGTTGCGTACAAGATGGTAAGTAGTTTCTAATAACTATGTGAAATGTTAATTCATTTATTTTAATTTCAGATTTCTTCATAGTTTATTAAAAGTGGTGTATATGGTGTTACTAAATTTATGTAGATTGGAAATTAATACAAATTTCTATCCTTACAATATTGAAACAAGTCTCGAAGGAAACTGCAAGAATACCTTCGACGACCGTAAAAATGAGCAACAGAAATGAATGTCGACAAGACCCTAGGAGCTCATTGTACAAAGAATATGCGTTAAAACGAAAATGTTACTTGACGAGGACTCTCTTAAAAAAGCTGAATATAATACAATGAATTCTTGTAGACAGATCGAAAAGAAGTCAAGGGTGACACAAAAAACTACTACGATGAACTAAGCATGAAAACGCAAGTAGTATCGAAGAAGGGTTTAAGTTAACTAAACAACTAGGTGGCAAACCTCTCTAAAATTACACCCCTGAAACAATTGATTGTCTCCCGATTGAGTAATTTAAGGCTGATCCCAACGCTGAGCCAACATTTTTGCACCCATTTAAGAAAATCTGGAAGGTAAGAATCATTTCTTCTTGGATGGAGTATATAATTGTCAAATTGCCCAATTGCTCCACTCAATAAACACTACAATGGCAAACAGGTACGCTATAGATAGGATATTGTCAGACAGATTAGGGAAAAACGACTAGCAAGAAAAAACTGGCAAAGAAAACGTATTTCAGATGACAAACGACACATGAATAAAATAACAAAAAAGCTAAAATCGGTTCTTCATATTTTTCATGAGCAAACGACACAATCATTTCTTCGAAGCTTAAAGCCGACTTGGAAGGTAAATAAAAAATTGAGCAATACAACGGATTATAATCCACAACTACGAAAGCCAGACAATACGTGGACTAAAACTACAGATGACAAAGCGTCTCTATTTGCTAACTACCTGGAAAACGAGGAAAATAAAACTTTAAAAGAAAAAATAATTAAATTGGAACATGAAAAACAAACCGACCACGAAGAACTGATGCGGATAATTGACGCCAATAAGGAAAACAACCTAATTTTCAAAGGCCCAACAGATCAACTGCCACCCAAAGAAGCTGTCACAAAACTGTGTGAAGAAACTCTTGGCATAAACATTGTAGTCCGTAAAGCTAGAGTCATATCACAGCGGGAATATAAAATCAATGTCTTGGCAGAGATGACGTCAGAAGAATCGATTGGCCTGGTTTTCCAAAACATACACAAACTTGCAAACTCTACGATTAGGATTGAAAAAGACCTGAATAAAGACAGACAACGGCATAGAAAAGCTCATCTCTTAATAAGGAAAAAACTTCTCTCAATAGATCGTTCGCACAAGGTGCTCGTTCGAGATGATAGAATACGTATTGGAAACAAGTGGTGCAAATGGAGCAAAAATGGAACCCTAAAGTGTGGCAATGAGGAGGCGACTACTACTCTCCAATCTATGTATGGAAACAAACTTGAAAACCTTAATCTTAACTTATTAAGCATCATGAATGAGCTAGATCAAAACAACCATATGGCAAAAAACTAAAGAACGAATACAGCACATTAACAACAACTACAGATGACGCTCCATCAACACCACGAAATACAGCATCTACATACAATCTTTTTAAGCTTCAAATAACATTTTGGAATGTACACGGTATTGCAAATCTTTTTAATGAACCAAAAATTGCTGACTCGCAGATCATATCTGTCTATGAAACCTGGTCAATAACACTTTTCAATACTACCCTTAGTCCTTGATGCAACTATGATGCGCTGACAGCCCCAGCAACTAGGGAAAAGTCCAATGGTAGAGCACCACTAGCTCTACCAGTATCTCTAGTTTAAAAAAATTTAGCAAAAACTATCGAAATAAGCAACACAAATTTGTGGATTTATGATATAAATATTGCTTTAGAATTGCTTCAACCATTAATCAATGAAATTAGAATTCATAGAAAATAATGGCTTTATCTTGCTTAACGGTTGCACAGATGATGACATCCCAGCAAGTTTTACATTCTCAAACAAAAATGGTAACTGTGTTATTGATTTAATCTTGGTCAACGTTGCTGCAATTCCATTTATAAAAAGCCTAGGAGTACAAGCACTTGCTTCTGGTTCAGACCATTTCCCGGTAACCTTAAAATTTGAATCCCCTACCGGCACTAGCAATATAAATTGTACAAATGTAACTTCTTGTAAGCAAACCAGATTAAAATGGGATATAAATAAGTCTGATATTTTTACAATGCACATGAACCGCTGTCTTGAATCATTGAACATGAATCATCACTTCTCTTCTTTATCCATTGACCAACAAAATGATCTAATTATAACCTCTATACAAAAATCCGCTCAAACATCAGAAATGGTCATTGCTAAGTCCTTTATGCCTCTTTACTATACTTCTAAGACATGGTTTGACTCAGAGCTAATGGCCTCAAAGAAAAATCTAAATCATGCCCTAAAAATGTGCAAGCGACAAAGCTTTTCATCTGAAACTAAAACGGTATACATAGATTTAAAAGCTAATTTCAAAAAAATGCTGTCTGAAAAAAGAACGGAACATGAAATTAAGGTCAAAAAGAAGTTCTTTAACGTAAAAAGTCCGAAAGACTTTTGGAATCTTATTAAATCGTACAATCAAAAATCTTTTGTCAACAACCCCATACCAAATTCTGTTTGGCATAGCTTCTACGAGCAAATTTATCCACCTCGTTCTACCATTGAACTTATACTGTCTGAAAACTTTATCGAAGCGCTGGATTCGGAAATAACAATAATTGAAATAAAAACAGCAATAAATAAAATCAAAATCAATAAGGCTCTAGGC